TCGCTTTATACCACTCTTTTCCACAGCGTCTGCAGCTCGTTTTCGTCAAATAATATTACTTCAGAAGCTGAGTCCAATTCCTCTTCGCTTATCTCAAATTTCACTGGGTTTACAGACAGATGTGGCAACAATTGCATAATCCGGCCAGCTGTTCGCTTGTCATTCAGACCAGTCGCCTTGTCTTTATATCGACGTGAAAGTGCATCTGGTCGCTCACAGGTGCTTCCCGGCCGTCATTCCAATACGTATTGGAATTGCTGCAGGATATTGTTGTACCACACTTGTCGCTCGTTAATGAGGCGTTTGGATACGAAGTAGATCAGGTTTTTATGGTCGCTCCAAATTTTAAATGGTATTGCTACTGACTTCAATTCTGCCTTCCACTCCTGCAAGCATGCTACAATAGAGAGCATCTTCTTGTCATGAATTGGATAATTCGACTCCGCACTTGTTAATCGCCTGGAACAGTATACGACTCGTCGCAATATTCCCTGCTTGTCTTCCTGAGATAAGCAGCCTCTCATAGCATATCCGGAGCAGTCCACCTCGAGCACCGTGTCCCGGTTTGGATCCCACTTCGCCATTACTGGTTGGGATGCAAAAATTTTCTTTAATCCACTGAACGCATCGTTTTCTGCGTCACCCCACTGCCATATCGAATCTTTCTTAGTCAGAGAAGTTAGCGGTGCCGTTATCTCTGAGAAACCATCAATGAAGCATCGATAGAAATTTGCGAATCCTAGGAATGGCCTGACACCCTTCACAGTAGACAGTGGATCCCATTCTAGGATTGCCTTGACTTTGACTGAATCTACCTTTATTCCATCACCTGCATGAATAATGAGACCCAGGTATTTGAACTCTTGACACAAATACTTGCATTTACTAATGTCCAAGTATAGTCCCGTCTTACTCAACTTGCAAAGAATGCTTCGCACCGTGTTCCAATGATCTTCTTCACTACCGCTAGTGTAAGCAAGTACATCATCAGTATATGCCGTTGCATCGAGGTCCAAGTGTTCACGCAGTTGCTCATTGATATATCTTTGAAACGTTGCGGGCGAGTTAATCAATCCAAAAGGTGTCACCAGCCATTCAAACAGTCTCAGTCTGCATCTTAATGCTGTCAGTCATTCCTCTCCTTCCCTGATTCGAAGACGATGGAATCCAGGTTTGACATCCAACTTCGTGAAGCATCTTGCCTTCTACAGCTGCCGAAGAGTTTCCTTGAATAAGGGTAGAGGGTATTGATCTGGCGTGGTTATCGCGTCCAATTCTCTGTAGTAAACGTACAATCTCAAACCTCCATTAGGTTATTTGCAAATAGCACTGGTGCTGCTGCTGCCGAGTTACTAGGGTAAATCCAACCCTTCTGTTAACGTCTTCTGTAGAACGAGTAGTTCCTCCCAGAACATTCCATACAATGGCCCCAAGGCGAGGAAAGAGGCTTGCCATCCTGTTGCTGAAAGTTGATGGCATGGTCTAGGGTACCTCGTAGTGGTAATGGCTTATCAGCCCCATCACCATCCACAAAAAGGTGTGCAAATTCTCTTACCTACTCTGGCAACTCGTTTTGCGCTTGCTCTATTGTAACGCTTGGTTTCGTGGGTAAAGCTTTATTTATGTCATCTAAAGATGCTTTACAGACTGGCATTTTCTTGATCATGGATACCATCTCACCGACAGGTATCATTCTCTGGCGCGCGATGTTGCGTAGTGCATTTCTCCAGCGTTTAGCACTATGTATTGAGAGACCTTTCTTGCGAATATCCAATCACTATTCCTTCGCATGAATTATCACATCTTGATCTCCTAGCCACTTCTTTCCAAATTTCATTTGAAGGGTATAATGAGGGACGACGTACAGCCATACCTTTGGCATCACATATCTGTCTAAATCTGGAGAAATTTAGGTGATACTATCGACTATTGGCTTATTAGGTGTTGATTCTTCGACCGTTTCCAAAGAGCGAGGGCTAATACGTATGCGCGGCAGTTGTAATTTAGAGGCAAGATCATCGTTAATAATTCCAGAGCACAAACAACCGTTATCCACTAATGCCTGCACCATATTGAAATCATTGATTAGAGCATCAACTAAAAATGGAGCTGTATTCATAATTATTTCCTGATTAACAGCTGCTTTATGCTCCTGAGTGCAACTTTGCTCAGGAGCATCTAATTCTTCGAAGAATGTTGGCCTACACCCTTATTCTCTTCTTCATCCTCCATCAATAGCCTCAAATATATTGCCGGAATAGAGGCTGGTAAAGCTGATATACCCATAGCACCTGGTTTTTGTGCAGGAAAGACCGGTGTTACGGGTTTTACCCGGTGTTAGTTGGCTGGGCTGACTTACTGGCCCAGCCTTGCATGTAAGGGGGATGTGGCAAATAGGCCTGTCTATTGCAACAGGTTAGACGCTTAGTAAGTGCTTATGTAAGGTGGTCATCAGCACACACCTTACATTGGCTCTGTCCCACTGAAGTGTTCTCTTCATAGAAAATATAGATTATTTTGTGACAGCCTTTGCGTGCAGCGTCCGTGATTCTCGTCCCTTTGCAACCGGACAGATCTCGTGTTACAGCCTTGGCGCTCACATCAAAAACACTTACCCTCCCTTTTAAGTCTCTAAATTTACTCTGGTGACTTCCATCTTGCACGGAGTGGTTTCCCATTCACACCGCGTGCAATGTTAGCAGAGTTTATAACTCCTATGAGAGTATCGCCCGCGGCACCAACTTCACCGACGATTCCGTGTTTTCTATTAGAAAGCCTCCATCCTCGGTTATTATGACCTATCTTATGGCGACCTAGGCCACGGGTGCTTTCATTGTTCCTCGAATTATCAAACCCTCTGATGTGACCCAGCCCCCGCTTCGATTTGGTAAGACATTTAGCTCTTCATATTGGTGTGATATCTGACCAACAACTTTAGTCCAAGCAAAAAAGTCGTTCTATGGTAGCAGATGATTACTGGCTAGAGTTTTTCGAAGGGTTTTGTTTAATGCACCTTGGAGCATGGTGATTTTAGTTTCGTCTAGCCACATATCACCCCTCCCTTCCGTAAGCTTATTTGACCAGGCGGGAAAAAATGTATTCCACTCCTGGCTCTCCTCCATCTTTAATATTCCTAGCTCAGTTCTAGCACGGGTAATTCTAGTGAGATCCCAGTTGCTACGGTTCAAGAACCCGATGAAATCGTCTGGGCTCTCCACTCCGTTCTTCCCTCCGGTCTCGAAATATGAGCCAGCCTCCTCTTGAGCTAATCCCTCCAAAGAATTGTAAATCATCAAAAAAACTTGCTGGTCAGTGTATTCGAAGGTATTCAAGTCAAGGCGTAGTGCAGACAGCACGGCTTTTCTCCGCGCGGGGTATTTTTTTCTATTGCCGTCGTAAACAGGAAGCTGATTATGTTTTAGTTTACCATTTTTCCTCGCTGTATCTTTAATTATTTCGACCTCTGAGGTTTGATCAGGGGTCTTGCATGGGAGCGCAGAAACATCAAATTGTCTCCGAAGGCTATGGTTCTCTTCCTTTAACGAGTCATTTTCAGCTAAGGCAAACTTCAAATCGGTAGACATTTTCATCGTTTTCTGTGAATCTAATGCCGTCGTTCGTGTATCTGCATTCGTGTGGTCGTCCTTCGTGAGTGGTGATTTTTTAATAGACTGAAATTATGCAACAGCCTAAGAATGGGCACTTGGGCAACCTTATGATTAAAGGTGGTTTATTTTCAATCTATGGTGAACTACAGATTGAAGAGGATAAGAACAGCTATTTTATACATAATTGTTATCTCTACAAATTATACAGTTTTCCATACGTGTTTACATATCTTGTTCTTGTATCTCGCTCCTTGGCCCTCTTCTTGCGTCTCGTCCTTGAAGTTTCATGATGATCTGATGATACTTAGAAATTCCTGCTTCTGAGAATAGATTCCGCTTAGGTTTGCGCTAAGCCTGCGTTAGAGAGCGCAGGCCACAGGCAAGCCCCGGCTTACCAGCCGTCACAAATATGTGAAAATCTGGGAGCGGGTGTTCCATATTGCCAAGGGGGAGAAGATATCGAAGCTAGGATGAGTGATAGTCTTCTTCGTTGATAAATCTTTGTAAACCTAGGGTTCTTGTTTAAGTAATAAATCGGCTTTATTCGCGTCTTCTAATTGGAGGGCAAGACTCTGAGAGCTGCTGCCACGTCTAATATTCGCTTACATGATAATCAAATTCCGAGTATTGTTTAGTTTAAGTCGTCTGACCATATTTATTCGCTTTGGGAGATAGGTTCTGCTATCCCTGTTTGATTGGATAAGTTTTTTGATAGGCTGGGATAGTTATTAGCCTTTATGAATTCTCTGTTGCCTGCAATTCGTATTTATTTAAGCTGCACTCTGGACGGGCGGGCGAGAGTTCTATGGTTGCGTCTAGGCCGGGTGGTACAAGAGATATCTGTAGCATTATGAGGACTGCGAAAGTTAGTCACCGAGTAGTTCATGTACAAGAGCGTCTATGAAATTCGGTTCTTCATAAACTGCACATAGGTTGGCGGGCGCATGTACAAGTGGGGTGAAAGCCATGGAATTTCCCACATGTAAGGACTGGTTTGTGGTCTCGAATTCGTTGGATACCGAGTGCCTGGCCAGATAGTTTTAGTCGCAAGGGGAGCTTATAATCCCCGGTCTCTGGAACATATGTTCTGACGTACCCTTGTAGATCTGACGAAGTTTAGGATCGGTTAGTCCAAGCTACTTGTCTTATCGGCATATCATCCCGGATAGACGCAAGTCCAGGCTCGTTAAGTATTCGACCGTCTAACGGATCATGTACTCCATCATGTGTTGTTACTTTCTTTGGTAATGGGACAACTACAAAGGTTATCCAGGATTCTTATCTTTCAACTATGGCGTTTCCAAAACTATGTGCGATTGTGTCTTTATGTTGTAAGATTGCCGCTGCTTTCGCAGGAGTTTGTGCCAGTATTGCCACGCCTGATGGCACCTGTCATGCGTCCACAACAAGAGAGGGATCAGGAATTATGCGCTGAAGTTTCTGGTGTAGTGAAAAGGGTCCTGCTTTCCGTGCTTCGTGATCGCGATCTAGACGAGTCATCACCCTTTTGTCCTCATGGCTTTGTCCTTGAGGAGGCGTGAGCCTTGCAAGGGGTCCCCGTATTGTAAAGTTAGTTCTATCATTATTTCCATTAGTAACTTTTGCAGCCCATGTGGTTTTGTTAAAGAGTATAGCTTGTTGATTTTTTCTGAGTTCGTTGGTGTTTGCAAATATATCTCTTCTCCGCGAATAGCCCGGGAGAATCCATCAAATTTTAGAGCAAGGATCTTGCTCCAGCGCCGGAGCATTTTGCCTCAATCTACTTTAAGTATGGTCCTACTACATTTAGTAGACCCCTGGCTTTCATCATAAATGTTGAGTTCGGTGAGCCCGAGGCTTCGTTGGCACTGTTGGTGCAAGTCTCATTATCTATCGACGGGAAAAGCGGTTGAGTTGTTAGCTGAGCTGGGGTGGTCGAGGACAATGGAGGAAGCTCGTCATTTTTGACCGTAGAGTCTTGAGTATTTATCGTGGGGCAGTCGAAGGCTTCAGGTAAAGACGCCACACTCTGAGCGCCTTTAGTAGCAACTGGATATTCAGCTGGTTAATCAATTATTACTATTGCACGAGAGAGGTTTGTAGCCAGGGGTCATGCTCTCCCAGCGTTGGTGACATTTTTCTGGATACGGTTCTTTGGCTCCTTGGCTCCTTGGCTCCAGAGTGTTACGGTTGGACTCGCTAGGGCATTCTGAGGTAGCCTTTTGTTGGAAAATTCTGCTTAGCCAGCTAGGTGATTCGGCTATACCCCCTCACCCTCTGTAATTCATTCACACAAATTTTCATATTTCTTGCTGCATTATCATAATAATAATTATTCATTATCCTGTTTTGGCGCCTTGAGGCCCATGCAGGTTTTTATCGCAAGATATGTACTTTAAGTAGGATGACTCAATTTGACGTTTAGAACACTCACACTCAGATTTCATTTGCAGATACCACTCGAGGTTAACCCTTACGGCGTATAACCTTTTCCGTGCATACCCACCACAGGGAAAAGCGTGAAAACCCTGTGGCTATCCAAGTGTGCTTTCATCATTCCACAAGTACAATATCACCGCGTGAGAGAGTGGTGTGTGGGTCTGACTGGATTCGAACCCTCTTTCTCCCGTCTCGAATGGGGTAGGTGTTCAAGCTACCCAGTATCTATTTGAGAGAACAGCCCGGATGGTGTACCACTGCACCATCCAACCCTATCTTGCTGCATTACTATACATATTCTCTACACACCTTATCTTACCCTCTATCTATTCTCGCCACTGTGACTCCACTTTCTCAATAATCCTAACACCTGTTGGAATAATACTGGATCACGTGATAATGAATAACGGGGAAGTGGGCCGGACTGAGGTGGAGCCGATCGGGGATAGCCAATAAGAATCGCATCCGAATCCATGTCGAAAGCAACCTCATACACACATCTCCACTTGACGACTTCTCGACAATGCCTTTCTTGTCATTCTCATCTGAGTCCTCAACCTCTTTCTAAACACGCATCATCTCGCCTCGACGACCGATAAAGAAGTTGCTCCAATTGCATACAGGAGCTTGCCCCATTAAATTCCAGTCATCTCTCACTACATATTTACGACGCTATTTAAACCCGCAAGGAGGAAATCAAGTCGAAAAATATAAAGCCCGGGTCTTGGCTTATGGGGGATTGTTGCTCTAATGGGACAGACAACTTGAGGGAGAACTGGCGGCTGAGATGTGGAGCGAGAGGGGAACAGGTCTTTCAAGACCATGCTGAGACTGACATTTTCGAGGAGTTTTCAACTTTGGATTTTTTGTGAGCGCTAAGACTAAGATTTCGTCTAATTAGCCAGGAGGGCTTCAATTGTAGATGAGTCAACGGCACTCCCCAGCGCCCTGGGCAGTACAAAAGAAGTTGGGCTAAGCTGCCATACAGCAATTACGCACTGTCAAGACTTTTCTGACATTTCAACACGACCTTCGGGAAGTAGTTGAAAAGAGGCTAGAAAGGCAGAGGATGAATTTTCCGAGGTACCCACAAGTCTACAGCGCCCAGCTGGCCTGCCTCTTCGAACGCTTCAGAAGGAGCTCTATGTCACCGGATCTAGTCCTAATGTCGGTATTAGAAGAGCTCCGCACCCAGTGGTTTTTGCGATTTTTCCCGGCTGCCATACACCCGCAAATGGCCATCGTTTCGTTGGCTGGAGAGGGGAGATAATGAAGGGCAAAGGACCCCTCTAAGTGTATGATCGAATGAGGACTTGTGAGGGGCGGTACTGTTTGAGGGGAATATCCTACAATAGTCTTAGACTTAGACAGGATGTAAATGGAATAAACAAACAAACTGTTTGAGGGGAGCTGTATGGGAGGTATAGGAGGGGATATACTACTGGTATAGGTATCCTTGGCCTGCAGTCGGAGAGGATCTGCATGTCCTACATAGTCATAGACTCAGACAGGACAATAAAATGAATTAATAAAAAAAGTGGAGCCGCAGCCGAGCTAACATCAAGGTCATAATTCCCAGTATTTACTTTCTGTTTATGTTTTCCCCTAACTACGTATCGTAGACTAATGCCCAAATACAACTTCTTTCTAGAGAAACGTATCATCCTCAGGTCAGTCGTAACATAGACTTTCGGATGCACCGCGCTTTTTATCGCGAGCTGAGGGCGCCATAATCTCTTCGCAGAGAATATGGAGTAAACTAGTAGAACAGAAAATAGCAGGGTAGGATCAGTGTGAAGTGAGATGTAAATTTGGTGAATGTGTCGCATTCGTGAATAGCCCTATATTTATATATTTCTTTATAATATTTAACGTCGTGCGCGCGCACAGCACGACAGCTTTTCACGTACCGGTTAGCCCAGTCTATATTTAACTACCCGACTTGTTGGCGCCTACATAGATCCAACAAAGCAGATGAAAGCCACGATCTTATCATCCTGCGCTCGAAGATAACAGTATAGATGGAGGTCTTCCGTCCAACGAATCTTGTGCTATGCAGTTGGCACTAAATGAAAATATTTTACAAAAAAATGAATAGAAGAAATTGTTTACATCAAATCGTGATTTCGTTCGAATCAGACTTGTCGTTGTGCCCTTCAGAATAAATTTGTGATACACAACCAGCTACTGAATGCATTAGCTCCCTCCGCTGAAGCAAGAGCCCAAGATACGCTGGGATTAGAGTTGTGTGTCCTGTGGAGCTGAGCTTGGTATTGCCCGAGGTGGCAATAGAAATGGTGGTTAGGAGACTTCTCTTCTCTGCATGTGCAGGCTAGAATGGCGTTTTCATGCTAAAACCGTCGGTGGTAGTCCGCGAAGTCGCCATGACCGGACCGTGAAGCTAGTACATATCCTAATGCGCGTCGCCCCAGACGGGCGAGCTCAATGGTGATTTTGGTATTAGGGCCAAGACCTAATTCTTTGCATCCAGAAGGTGCATTTTCTGCCCAACAAAGTGCAAAAGAAGCCTCATATTGGGCTTGACTTCCCTTTTTGCCCTCGCAATGGAGAGTTCTGAGTGTGGAGCTGGAGCCGCACAGGCAGCTTTAGCGAGAGCGTCGGCAACTTCGTTTCCAACAATACCTGTGTGGCCTGGGCACCATCGAACAGCTACTTCCCCAGGCGTCGTATTTAGGCCGCATGACCTCCTTCTCCAGCTCACTGCGAGCTTGCAGAAGTTAAAGGTTTTTGCTAAGCTAGACGCTTTTTTAAAAATCATTTCATGTGGGAGCTAGACGCTGCGAGCGTATCCAAGAGCAGACGGGTAGCACCTTCCAAGTTGTCGAGGCATACACTGACGTTAGAGACGTAATTGTAAATGGTTTAATGAATTCAAAAGTACTTGAAAGACATTAAATCAAAAGGAATTGATAATTTTTCCTTGGGAAGCTGATCTACCAACGACGGCTTCTGTCCTTTATGTCCTCTGCAGCGTCGCGTCTAAACTCCCCTCCTAGCCTACCTGAGAATACTCCATTCTCACCGGCTACCCTCTTTCCTGTGACATCCTCACCCCTTAGTACGTACTCTCTTAGGTCCTTCCTCATGCGCAACCTTGCAATCATCCTTATGCGACCTTTTGCGTCTCTGTAAGCGCCGCTTCGCTGACGCTTAACAGTCTAGCCGGAGTGGTCCTTGTGATCAGTCCCAATGTGGGCACAGCCCATCACAATAATAGGTCAATTGGTTGCGAAGAGCTGCGGCAAGACCTTCCGTGGCCCCAGCAATTTCTGCATCATAGACTTCCGCCGAGTTTCCGAGCGGGAATGTTCCTCGCCCTATCTACTGCCTAGGACCTCGGTAAATGAGATAACTCGCACCTGCTTGGTCTTCTATGAGAGCGCCATATGAAAATACGAATAGGTCTAGGGTAGGTTGTTTAGCCTGCCACCGTTTAAAGGAATTTGGTTCTAGGAGTCTACCTACCGCCCCAATTTTTAATAGTATTTCCTCACTGGATGACGACCACGGTGGGGGTATGGTGTCATGGGAGAGTTCTAAACCAAGAGCCCCATATTTTATTTATTTATTTATTTATATTATCAAGACCCCCATATTTACAGATGAAATCTATGTACTTCTTGTAAGGTCATGTGACATCTCTTGCTTAGTTTTTTTGTTCATTAACGTGCTAGGTTACATGACTACCGTTGCATTCCTACTGGAGCTTAAGCACAAGTGGGTCCGGGTTGGAATCAGGTTAACTACCGCGAAGTACAGATATACCTCGTCCCACTTAAATGGCCGGACCACCTCAGAATTCACCTATGTCTTGAATCATATCAGGCCTAACCGTCCAGAAACCCGCTGTATACACGCCGTAGCGCAATTTCCTTCTCAGCCTCGGCCACCACGCGCCCGAGCCCTTGACATCTTCATTGACTCCGAAATATAAATGTATTGCCAGATCTCATCGTTGCTCTAGCCTTGAACATTCACATCTTACCGCTGGGTTATTGTCGTCAGAGGAGATTTGTGTAATCTCCTCGGTATTTCTTCCCTTTTCTCCCTCCTTTTTACACGTCTCATTTCCATCATGACTTTCCTCATTAGGGCGTATGTGGGTAGATGATGTGACGGAGTATGGAGGTGGGTCGTAGGTATAGGATCGACTGAGAGAGGCTGCATCGCAAATATGTGAGGAGTTTGAAAGATGTCGGATACTTGATTACGACCCCCAGACAGACCCAGGCCCATTCGTGAATTGTTTGTTGATGGTGATGAGTTTTCGTTCGGCTTTCTCGCGGTAGCGAAATCTCTGTCGACTGATTTTTGGACCAAAATACAGAGTATAATTCATTCAAGCCGAAAATCCATCAAGAAAAATTCATCCCACCCTTTTTCGAGATTGAATCTCAGCTCCGGGAGAATATTTCACTCTCAGGTTTGTAGAGGACACCACTGATAGGTGTTCAGCCTCCGACCTCCTGTCTTGCTTAGTTTACATGAGTAGGTGAAATGTTATCCCTATACACAGAGTGTACAAATTACTTACACCGGCAACGCTGGAAGATGAAAAATTCGTCTTTACCAGCACAACGGAGTGCAGGTACGACGTAAACTTATAGTAATACCTAAATCCTAGTCAACCCAAGAATCGGCGGCACATTCAATAACAGGCCTATAATCAAGAGTATCGACGTCATTTTTTGTACCGAATGTTACAGAGACTCAACAGTTGGACGTAGATTGCCGTTCTTTTATTTTCGGCAGATGAATTTGGGACCCTCCACATTGACAATTCGCAATACCAGCCCAAGATCAAAAATATAGGACGGTGCGAAAGTGTAAATTGAGTGCTCAGGAGCCACAAAGGTCAAAATAATATGATTAGTAATAAAAAAAGCAAGGTGCCTACCCAAGTTTCTACCATATCTCTGTACTTTAATATCCCTACTGGGCCTATTTTAACTCTCCACTCTTATGTAATCTAAAGCATCAGGCCTTTCTTGAGATAACTGATGAGGACAAATTATTCTAGTGATATATTTTCAGCACACAGGCTAGTAATCAGAGACCCTGAGTGTAATATGTGCCCTCAACACGACATTCTCACATTGCCTTCGTTTTCTTTTGAAATTTCGAGGAGTTAAGATATATTACGGACACTGAGGACGGGTCACTGCATATGCTTCAACGGGTAATGCAGAAAAGTAAACCTCTCGGTATTGTTCTCATCTGTAACTTCGGCAACTAGATCAGTGCATCTATGTAACACAATCAAAGTCGTACCGCAAGCCCTCACATTCTACAGTTGAAGACCTCGACGTGTTTTATTCTACATGCGAATGGTGCTAGAATATACCAACTTTTTAGACTTCAAGTAGAAACAAGCAAATCATTCGGGACATCAAATCTTAACACTGGTATAAGACGTTAACTGTTAACTAGAGGATTAAAACTTCGTTGAGCTTCACGCTCTACCCTTTACAAGTGAGCAGTCCTGGCAAATACCTCTCTAGATTCTTAATCGAGAAAATTGGGTTGAAGTTTTCCCAACCGGAATTCAATGCGGTAGGGATTTTTGAGTAAGCCCATTGGAATCCTCCCCCATCAGTGGAGTCATTACTGGGCGGTCCTTCGGAACTATTGAACCTTACAATCCTGCAAATAAGACATACTTCCGCTTCTCCGAAATACTTTGAACTTGGAGTAAACGTGGTGGCTTTCTCTTCCAAAATTTATGAGAAGAAATATATAATTCTAAAAACAATACGGACCGCGGAATAAAAATATTAGCTCTGAGAAACATATGCGCGACCTCTTCCATGAATAGCTACGAGCAGATTTTTAACACTAAATCCAAATTTTGCCGTACAAATTTCAACAGTTATCAGACTGTGGAACTCTAGATGCCCATTATAAGGCGGGTGTCACTCGAGGAGACGGCCCAGGCAAATTTTCCAAACCTTGATTAACTTTTGTGCTCCAGTTAGCTGAAAAAGGTATTGCTATATCGACAAGTGTTTCCAGATAAATTGGTATGTCGGGTAAACTTTACTAAATGTGCTAATTTTTCGGTGGCTTTTACTGTCGTATTGTACGTTGCAACGTTGGGATTCAAAAAGGCAAACCAAATCTATGGCACGAGATATAATGATTCAACATACATTAGCTGTGTTCTCAATCAACCCGACAGTAAGATATGTTCCTAGAGCAAGAATGTATACAAATTACGCAACTCATGCAGCACTGTTCCATGAGAAAATTATGCAGTGAACTCTACGTAATTAGGCTTAGATCTGAGTCTAAGAAAGAGCAGCACAAATGTTTGTCATCCTAATTTTCCCTACCAAAACAGAATTTTATCAATTAGTCACGTCGAGTTGGGAAGTCTGTGAGACCTTGCCTCTCACGGAGATTGTGGATAGAGTGATGATGGCACGTTAGGACTACCAAAAAACAATTACCGACTTTTCCTTGGGGGGATGTTCGTGATTGAGGGAAGGATGAAAGCTCTAAGCCCCACCTTGAGTGGCACCGGCAAATATTCCCGCCATATGGGTGTACTTTATCGAAATTGAAGCATCTATTTGTGCTTACGATCACCAATAAAAAACATTTTATCTATGTCTCCATTGCGTAGAGATTTGATCGGTGGGAGAACCATTGTAATCAGTAGTCCGACACCTTTATAGCTTAACGAATTTTGAATAAAAATACATCCATCAACTTTGCTAGTATCACATTATCAAGTTACTTTCAACGGCTATCTGCAAAAATATCGAGACACCAGCACTCTAAAATCGCCAGTTAATGCCACCGGAAAAATGTGGGACGGGCTCGTCACCATCCAGACTAGAAAAGCTTGGTGTTTCAATTTAAGCTGTTGTGAATCGAACACGCCAATTTGAAGTGTGTAGCAGTGACGAATAATCCCTGTCTAGTAGGTTTGACTTACTCGGCAAAGATGCCTAGCTTAGTCGGGCCGAGATGTCTACTTGAAAATTGGCAGACGACTCTACACAAGGATCTCAGGCTACCCCGTTGATGGTAGCACACCTGACCAAGTAAGAACCCGTATAGTACGTACTATGAACAAACTAAGCTTTTCCAGCAAGTATGGTGTAACTTCCTTGGTCATTACGGGTATTCAAGTTGCCAGAAATGCAAATGATACCAAGAGAAGTTTTATATAAGTTTATCTAGCCCTCAGTATTTTTCAGCATCTGGAACATCAATAACTTCTGCTTTAACATTACTTTGACAATATGAAAATGAATTTCATCTTATTCTCCTCGATTTTGGCGCTTGCAGCAGCCAACTCAACACCAGATAGCGATCAAACGCCCACAGAATTTGGCGAGTATGGCAGTAAGTCCTTTCATCTACTTAAAGAGATTTTAAAAAACTTACAAACCTAGACTATGGCCAGTACGGAAGCTACGACAAATATCCAGAGGTTAGCTTGTCTTCAACCGCCACCCCTGCGAAACCATCGGCATTCCCCAATACTTTTGTGGCAGTCACGACTCGAAGTGGCAACCCTAAATTACATCTTCGCCCAGTATCAGCGAGCAATCTAAACTTCTACATTGGCAAAGAAACTTCAACTTACTGTCCACTATCTGATTGTTCTGGCTGTAGGCTTTGCACCCAAATTTGCTATCCATGAACTCGCTGCTTACTACTCTAGTCGTTAACTTTACCGTCTTCGATGCCCAACCTAATAACCCTAACTCTGGACTTGGCCTATTCACAACAGTTCCCGGAGGTCAGCTTGTATACGTGACTAAAGATGGCCAGTTAGGATATACTCAAGCTCATTCTGCATTTATTCCCACTGATGCCAAAACGGTCCCATTCTTATACGCGCCAAACGCCGAGCCGGGTAGCGTCGGTACTCTGACCTTTAATGGTGGTGGTTGGATGGCCTGTCCGGAGGAAAAACCTGACGATGTTTTTCAGATTTATTCACAAAATACACCGGGATTTAATCGGAAAGACTGCACTAGCGTAAATATCGTTACGGCGGTTTATAACGGTAATTCTACTTGGCAATATGTGTAAGCCAAAACATGAACATAAAAGTAGCGGTTTTGCAGAGGAATAATCGTTTATCTCTTGCAATGTCTCGCTCGGAATTGGCAAATATTTTTGGAATAAGATTTGGAATTTTTGTTTTTGTTTTTCATGGCTCTTTATTTCATGCCGCTGAATGGCCATCAAGTCCATTAAAATTTTTAGTTTAACTCTTGAAATATCCATACGAGAGGTAGTATCAATTAAATCAATATTTTAGGAACCCCCAGTCATCCAATGCTGCATATATTTAGTAGTTGCTATTTGATTTGGCTTTATGTAACATTTTTGCCAAATCTTTTCATGTAGATGTAAGCTGCAGAAATATTCAATCCCCGCGATATATTTAGGTGAGATTATCTTTACATTGCAACTCCTATGCCAACTGTTCGACCCGTAACACATGGCCAAAAAAACTGGTCATCAAATCATATTTCGGTTCATCGATTCTATTCTTCGATACTGACAGCTTTGAGTTGTGACTGCTCATTTTTCCACCAAGAACAATAGCTACTAATAGGCTAAGGAAAATGGATGCTATCTGAGACCCATATTTATGATGGCTTGTGGAGCACCAGTACTGAGTCTCAATGTCGTAATCCAACGCTTTTCATCATCCAAAATCATGGTGAAAAGTAACTGCATGACACGTGACTATTATAATTATTATTATTTAAAGGAAATAATGACCCCTCGGTTATTGAGGTTGTAGGGCGCATTGATTCAAGTTACTACCAAAGTGAAACTGAGTACAGAACTTGTGGTCACGTGTGTATCGATAAAGTGGCCTACGTGATAGCCCAATTATTCTAAATTCTAACATAATTATTAATTCAGTTTATTGTTCTTTCTGAGTCTATGACTATATAGGACATGCAGGTCCTCTCTGTCTGCAGGCCAAGAATAACATTGCCAGTAGTATCCCCTCCTATGCCTCCCATACAGCTCCCCTCAAACAGTACCACCCCTCACAAGTCCTCATTCGATCATACACTTAGAGGGGTCCTTTGCCCTTCATTATCTCCCCTCTCCAGCCAACAAAGCGATGGCCATTTGCGGGTGTATGGCAGCCGGGAAAAATCGCAAAAAGCATTGGGTCTAGGGCTCTTCTGATAAAGACGCAAGGACTAGGTCCGAAGACATATTGGCCCTTCAGAAGCGTTCGAAGAGCCCGGCTAGCTGGGCGCTGCAGACTTGTGTGTACCTCGGAGAACTCACACTCTGCCTTTCTAGCCTCCTTCCCGAAGGTCGTGCCGAAATGTCAGAAAAGTCTTTACAGAGCGTGATTGCTATCTGGTAGCTTAGACTAACTTCTTTTGTGCCGTCCAGGGCGCTGGGGAGTGCCGTTGACTCATCGACAACAGAAGCCCTCCTGGCTAATTACCCGCAATCTTGGTCTTGATGCCGACAAAAAATCCAAAGTTGAAAAACGCTCGAAAATATCAGTCCCAGCATGGCATTCAGAGACCCATTCCCCCTCTCGCTGCACATCTCAGCCTCCTGTTCTCCCTCAAGTTATTTGTCCCATTAGAGCAACAGTCCCTTATAAGCTATGCCCCAGGTTTTGTATGTTATGACATAATTTTCTCCTTGCGGGTATACGTAGCGTCGCAAATATGTAGTGAGTGATGGCTGTTAATCAATGGGGCAAGCTTCTGTTTGCCATTGGGGTGACGCCTTTATCGATCGTTGAGGCGAGATGATGTATGGTTAGATCGAGGTTGAGGACTCAGAAGATAACGGTGAGTGCTGCATCATTGAGAAGTCGTCAAATGGAGATATTCACGTGTCTGCTTTCGACTTCGATTCGGATGCGATTCTTCTTGGCTATCCCAGATATGCAGAGCATACTGAGCGATTACACCGGCACCACTAGAAGGTGAAGAATTCTTCTTTGCCGGCTTCAGTTGAAAATGAATGTGGGCAGTTTTTCTTTATTTCTTCTTTTCATGTAATCAATCGGCCTAGAAAACTGAATAGATAGGTAGTAGCGAGTCTTTAGGGATCACACACCCGTATTAGGGGGGCTATTGTCAACACCAGTCAGTGGTGTCCCCTACGAACGTCCAGCTCTCACTGTAGAGTCTGCGGAGCCGAGATTGAGTAACAAATTCCTTACTCCAATGATAATTCTCGATCGATTTGGCGGTCTATATCGTATGCATATCAAAACGACACCCTATCACTATTATTATGAAGCTAACTAAAATCTGACCAGATGGTAGGGTTGGAGCCCTGCTCATCATCGACACTTGATCATGGAGGAGAAGCCATCCGATGAGTTTCCGGAGCGTACCTAGCACCCGTTACGGAGAAGGTGGATTGGATCAAGTCGACCTCGACTGTTACAAAGAAGGGAGACATAGATGAATATGCGCACCTCATGTGGTCCCGGTGTCTAGGCCTCGCCTGGCTGGGGCTGCAGATTTCTTGAGACTTTTTCCCGCGCACGCAGTTTCCATTGCTACCATATTTATTTTTTGGGTAGAAGGTTCCGTGGAAAAGGTGGCTATTCATCGCGGGCAGTATATGAATGACCTTTGAAGTAACAAAAGAGGCAAGGATCACTGTACAAGCTATGGCCTGGGTCAGAGAGGAGCCCAATGTGCTATATATTCATAGACTCAAGTAGTACAATAAACAAAAACACACACCCGTATCATGCCTCTTGCGTGTAGGACTTGTCGGAGCACTTGCTCTGGTAGGCCTGAGGGTTAGATTCATGCCTTAGGCATACAAGCGAACTCAGGTTTTATCAACGCTTCAAGGGCGTCCGTACATAGAGATTTATATACACATACATCTCAATCAGTCACCACTTTTGCATTCGCAAGCCCATTCTCATTACCTGTGATATCACAGAGATTGACCCTGTCATACCAACAAGGCTTTTGCCTGATACGGAATTGTTAGACACTGAGGGTCAAATGAAAAATGTAAAGTTGTATTGATGAAATCTCTACTCCTTAACTCCTCTCCAGCAGTGATGCTATTTACCCATCTGAAACTATCTCGAGGAGAGATTACCTTCTCCTCGTTTCCCAAAATTACATATGAAATATATTACATGTGTTGAATATCAAAAGATCTCAAGTCAGAGCTTTGACTATCCTGAACATGCTGATCACCATATCCCTGATGAGATATCAAAGCTCGAGTTAGTTAATCCGACACAATGTGTCATCCCACTATCCAATGATTCTCATTACCTTATTCATTAGGTTCTAAGCTATCAGATGTTTGACAGGAATTCACACAAACATACATGCAAGGAAATATCTTTACATGTGTACCAGTTCAATAGATGTTATGATATCATAAGAGCTTTTTTTGGTGAAAAAAGAGTATGTTATGTCAAAGTCTAAGAATAACGATCGAAAAAATCGGATGGGGATATGTTTCTGGCCAGAAATAGAGATTTTCCATACGTACGTGGCTCGTTTGCTCGGTCAATGTTTGTATTCTGTATTCAGAATCGTAGGTTACTCTATTCCTAGTGTTGTCATGGAATTCGTATAGAGAAGCGTAAGCTGTTAGGCTTGTATTTAATATCACCTAGTGAAGCGAGTTGGGAGATTGAAGAGTCTAAAAACTGTAGTGGAGAGTTGTTTGTTAAATCCATCTAGTATCAGAGCGCCATTTAAACTAATTTCTACATCTAAGTGAAGGACACGATTCACTTGTTTATGCTAAATAATTGGGAGGCTGGTCAATGTATGAGTCGTCATGAATGTGGCTAGTAATAATAGAACCTTATTACGTTCCGTATTAATGCGACTCTTCATTGCCAAGTAGCGCCAATTTCAACACCTAGCACATATCTATATTTAGAGATCAAGAGATCTTGGCAATCATGAACAATTAATGTAGTGCTAAAATGCGAGGAGTAATGGGAATGAAGATTTTCTACTGGTGTTGTTTGTCGTCATATATATCACTCTTCAACCGCTTAGTAGATTTGGTATTTCGAGTTGAAGTGACATTTTAGTGTCTTCGCAGGACTTAACAGAATAAGGCTGAAAAGTCAGCCTTGTGTAATCTGAGCATTTGTCACTGTTGAAGATGGAGTAGACAAGAACATGAGCACCTTTATCCAAACGTAAATAGTTATCTGATCAGATACCGTGACACAGTCTATCCAAAAACTAAGTTGTCTTTTGCTTCAATTACAAACACCTCGCCTGTCATAGGTCACGCTGCTAGTTACCTGAAAATATTAGGTATTTTTTTACATCAGATTTTAATTTGGTATGCAGCTAGCCAGCTTTGACACAATATCGGAGATACACTGCAGAAAAGATGTTTTAGAATGCAAGAAGAGCATTCATGCCTCGGATATTACTTGCAAGTACCACTGCGAAGTTATGGCGGCTTTTTTCTTCACCCCAAGTCAACCCTCATCCGTGAATACCCACTCCGGAAAACGTCTCAAAAGCCCTGAGTCATCCTGAAATGCCTCCATCATCCATTGACTTTTCTCCGCGCGAAATATGGTATGAGGTGTCTCTTTCCCAAGTAGAGTAGGTGCCCAGGCTACTCAAACTACACCAAAGAGCACCATCCATCGTTGATTTGTCTTTATAGTGTCAGCTGCGCTCTTTTTTTTTTTTTTTTTTTAAATCATTTAATGTGTATTCAGCTATCTAGCTATGACACATGACCGGCGCTATGTATACATGTGGGATGACTCTTTTGACATTAGAGACACTCATACTCTGGATTTCATTTGCAAATACCACTATGAGGTATGTTTGCTTACACAAACAGTCGACCCTCCTCCGTTAGTACCCACCAAAGGGAATTTAAAAACCTTTGATTATCCAAGCATGCCTTCGTCATCCATGCATACTAGCGCCGCGAGAAATGTGGTTGTGTTTTGCCGGATTTGAAACAGCGATCTACTGTCTCGAGTGGGATATGTGTCCAAGCTATCCAGACTCTACTTGGCAGACCGGCCAAGACGATGTACCACCGCACCATCCAACCAT